CCTCTCTCTCTGTGCCCACCTTCTCCCACCTTCATTCTCCTTGTTGTGCCCTTCCCATTGCCGTGAAGGTGAGGGCCAACTCTCAGGAGGATGCATCTCCCGTTGCCTGGTATAACAACATCCAGCTGGGGCAGATTGTTCATCCATGCTCCCTTCCTCTTCTCTGGCCTCCACCCTCACCCCTACAGATCCTGGGAATCTGTCCCAGAAGCAGGAATTGCTGGCTCCAGCTCCAGGTTACAACTGGGATTATCCCCATGGAAGAGAGGATGAAACAGGCCTAGAGTTGTTCAGAGCTTTTTGTTCCGGGTGATATCAAGTATAAGAGGCAGTTTGTTGACTAGCACTGAACAGTATTGGGAGGAGCCAGAAGCCAGTCCAGGTTGTATGGGGCCTCCCTGGACCTGGGGCTGTCTCAGGACTGGCCTCTCATTCCCTCCCCCTCAGCTCCTAGGGCTACTGACATGATGAGCAAAGAGTAAGAAAGAGCCACTTCCTTCCTTCCTTCCCACTGCCCGCAGCCTGGGCCAAGCTGGGGTGGGGGGGAAGTCTTGCAAAGAGTGGCCCCTGCCCTGGGGAGATGCTGCTGCCACTGCTGCTGCTACAGCATCTACCTCCCTTGGTAACTCGGGCTCCAGGGCAGCCCCACCCTACTTCTTGCCTCTGAAGGCGAGGCTATAAGTACTAGGCTCCAATAGCCTATATAGAGAGAGATCCTCATGGGTGCAGATTTACCTCCAATTAGCAGAAGTCCTGATGTGCCTGGTCCCTAATTAATCCCATCCTCCCTAACTAATCCCTGATCCTACCTTTCCTGCTCCCCCTGCTAGCTTTAGGGGTAGGGGAGAGGAGAGGCAAGAGGTAGGCACAGGGTAAAAAAACAAAAACAAAAACAAAGAAGCATTTACTAAGAACCTACTATGTGCCTGGTGCTTTATAAATCTCTCACTTGATCCTCAAAGCAACCTTGGAAATTAGGTGCTATTATTAGCTCCATTTTACAGATTGAGGAAACTGAGGTAAACAGGGATTGCTAATAAGTATTCTGAGGTTTGATTTGAATTCAGGTCTTCCTGACTCCAGGCACAGTGCCTTAACAGCTACATTACCCAGCTGCCAGAGCAGAATGGAAAGAATACTGGATTTGGAGTCCTCCTCAGTGTGTGTAGTTCTGGGGTTCAAAGCCCAGCTCTGCTCAGGTCATCAGCTGTCTGACCTCAGGCAGGGCCTTCCATTTCAGGGATTCAGTTTCCTTAACTCTAAGATAGAGACAAGGAGTTTTGGGGAACCTACCTCAGCAGATTATTGGGAGGACCTAAGGGCTTTGCAAACTTTGAAATGTCCCTTGTCACCATTAGTGCCTTCACAGACAGACACTCTTGGATGTTCCCGCAGTCACTGGCCGTTTTCAGTTGTGGAAAATCTGAGCTGAAGGGCTGTCAAATAATCAACAAGCATTTTTTAAGATGCTCAGCATGTGGCAGGCTCTATAGCTTGGGGCTGCAGTCAACCTGATTTGGAGTCACAAGTCGGTTGTTCAGTCACGTCCATGACTCCATTGGGGGTTTTCTTGGCAGAGACACTGGAATGGCTCGCCATTTCCTTCTCCAGCTCATTTTACAGATGAGGAAACTGAGGCAAACAGGACTAAGTGATTTGTCCAGGGTCACACAGCTAGCAAGTGTCTAAGGCTGGATCTGGCAAGTCACTCTACCTTGTTCAGCCTTGTTTTCCTCAATAGCAAAATTACAGAGACATCTGTACAGACATCATTACATACATTACATCTGTACAGAGACATCATTACAGACATCTCTGATAATTACACCTACCTTTGCCTCACATTGAGAAAATACATTTAAAGTGTTATTGTAAATATTAAGGTGACATACACATACCAATTATTATTGTTGAACACAAAAGTAGGACAGTCTTAGAACAAAGAATGTCAGGGATGAGAAGGAAGATCATGGGACTTAAGGCTGGAAAGGACTTTTAAGATCATCTCTTGACCAATCTCCTAATTTTAAGGAGGAAGAACCAGAGGCGATGTGATTTATAAAGGCACACAGCTAAGAGGCAGCAGAAGCAAGGACTGGACCCTGCTCCTCTTACTCCATATCCAGTCTGTTCTCTCCTATCTATTTTTGGCAGTTCAGAAATCAGGCTATTGGAGCTCTGAGCACCCTTAGAGGATAGAGTGTCAGAGCTCACGAGGAACTTAAAGCATAGAGCACTCTCAGAGCTGGGAGGGGCCTTAGAACAGTAGTTTCCAACTCAAATGGAAACAAGGCCACTGAAACATCTATCTATCTGACGGATCCCTGTGGGCTGCATATCGACTTAAAACCGTGTTAATATTACCTGTGTTTTGTTGTATTTTTAGTTTGTGCCTTAGAACACAGAATGTGTCAGAGCTGGGAGGATCCTTAGAATCCCAAAGGAGAGAATGTTGATGGCCTCTGAGGTGACCTAGTCCAATTGTCTTATTTTACAGATGGGGAAACTGAGACTCTGGGAAAGAGAAGGCATTTGCCAAAGGTCATATAGCAAGTCAGCCCCTCTCTTGATTACTAACAATGGTGTCTTTTCATTACCTCTCTCCCTCCCATCGCCATTAGTTATACATATATTGACTCTGGTCAAGAATATAATCATCTAAGCTTTAACAGTCTGTTAAAGACTGCTGTTCCATCACTTTGTCTTGCTGAAACCCATCGCCGTCAGTCTCGTTGTCACTGTGACTGTGGCTGTCACTCTTCTAAACCAATCCAATCCAAGAAACCTTAAAAGTACCCACCAGGTGCCAGTCACTGTGCTACAAAGGAGATACAAAAATAAAAGAAGAAACAACTGTTGCCCTCATGAAGCTTGTATCAATAATAATCACAGCTCACATTTATAAAGCTCTTTAAAGTTTGCAAAGTGCTTTACATATGTTAATTCAGTTGATCTTCAAAATAACCCTGTGAAGTAGGAGCTATGCATAGCCCCATTTTATAGATGAGGAAACTGAGGTACAGAGGTTGTGACTTGTCACACAACTAGTAAATATCTAAGGCAGGATTTGAACTCAGGAACTCAGGTCTTTCTGACTCTACCCACTGTGCTCCCTAGCTGTCTCATTATCCTGGGATATTACATGACATTCTATCATAGACAAAGAGAGCTCTAGGGGCTGACTATAGGCTCATCTGCCCAACATAGTCTCTCTTTTTTCCCCTCCCAGCATCCCTTGCAACCACGCTATCTGCTTCATATTTCCTAGCATCACTTATCACTTTGAGTCTAGGTCACTGAAACTGACATGCTGGTTGGGTTATCACAGCCTCCTTGTCACCTCCACCACTAGACCACAAATGCTCCCATTAGGGTATCTCTATCCTGGGTGGAGGTGAGCACAGATGTCACAGAATCTGAGAAAAAGCAGAAACAGAAGCAATCAGCACCTTCACTTCTCAACTGGCTCACTCAACCTAGGTGACTTTCCAGTCTGTGCTTCTTGAAGACTCAATCAATCAGCACTTAATTTCCTTTCCCCTCAGGGACCTAGGGGGTCAGGCCTCCACCTCTCCTCTTAGGAACCCAAGTAAGTAGGTTCCAACCCTAGCTCCCTTCCCAGATGTCCATTTCCTTAGCCCTTGTTTCCTTAGGGACCAATCATCCTGCCCTTCTACCCTCAACCTTAGATCTTTCCAACCTCTCCCACTTTTTCCCCCCCTCTCCCACCTTTAACAGAGAAAAGATACCTTGAAACAAGACAAGGCAGGCTAGAGGAAGGGACAAGCAGAGTTGAGGTGAAGGTTCCTGAGCTTTGATTTTCACCACCGCAGTCCAGAGGGGAACAGAGGCTGGCCTAGAGACCCCAGAAAGTCACAAACCAGAGAGCCCAAGCAACTGGACTGGTACCACGGAGCAAGCTCAAGACAGAGCCTAGAGCTTAGCTCTAGCCAGCCCTGCTCTTAGGCTCAGAGAACATCAAAGCTGAGAGGGAACTTAAAACAGTTTTAGAGCCAGGGAGCCCTTAGGAAATACAACCAAAGACATCGGGGTTGGGAAAGACCTTAGAACACAGAATGGCCAAATGGAGAGCTTGGAGCTCATTTGATCCAACGATCTCACTTGGCAGATGGGGAAACCAAGGTCCTCGGAAAGGGACAGAATCTTTGCTAAGATTAAACAGTTAGTCAGCAGCAGATTCAGGATGAGATTTTAGGTATCCCAGCTCCCAGCCTGATCAGGGGTCTTCTCATATCGCAAGGCCTATGGGGTCAGCATTAGGACTTTCCACACACTGGTCTGATAATGCCAGTAGAACAGAGACAGCCCACGCGGTGGTAGTTTTACTGTAGTAATTATTATTATGCTGAGCCCTGATCCCAGCCACAGACACTGATGTAGGCTGGGTCTCCATGCAATTGCCTGTCACTGGGGGTCAAGAGGGAGGATTCCAGAGGAATCTCCTGAAGAGTCCTCCCAGGACAAACAGCTGGGGCAGGATGAGCTTTGATATCTCTCTCCCCTGAATGGGCAGCATTAGCTGCCCTGGGGCCAATCACTTAAAAGCTCCGGCTTTGGGCTCCCCAACAGGAAAGAGCTGGCTTGAGCCCTAGGTTCATAAAACCCTTCCAGATAATTAAATCCAACGTCCTCATTTAACAGATAGGGGAGCAGGGAAGTACAAAGCAGGGAAGAGATTCACTGTAGTGATGCAGAGGGTCAGTGGTAGATCTGGGACTAGAACCCAGGTCTTTGGCACTCAGTCAGGGGCCCTGTCCAGTTCTTCTGGGTCTTGGGAGGAAGGTGGGCAGGCCTGGGAGAAGTACATCTCACCTGGACTGATGTAGGAATGGGTATGGACCTGGGAAATGGCACACCCAGTGGTCTGTCTGAAAGCCCTCGATCAGCATTGTCCTCGTAAGCAGACAAGATAGGGTGGGGCAGGGGACTACCTCAAGCTGAGTGAGGCTGCTCTGAGCTGCACTGTGACAGCAACTCACCATGATGGCTGCAATTCTCGGTCCCTGTGGCCCTAGGTTGGGTCCCCTGGGGCAAAGCAGGTGGCTGTGGCTGCTGGGAGAGCCAGGTTCAGGGGGCTGCTGGTGGGGACTCAGACATGCCCTGGTGCTGGCTCTCTGAGTAGCATCAGTTCCTCTTACAAAGGCATCTGTTCCCCCACACCCACTTCCTATCACTGGGAGGGGCAGGGCCAGGGGGGAAGGAGCTCTCACCACAGAGGGAGTAGAGGCCTCCTCTGAGGAGGGGGCAGGACAGGCACCATGGGGTCCCCTAGAAGTGAGCCCAGCTCTGAATACTGACAGAAAGCTGGGAGGCACCTTTGTCTCTTTCCATTTCTCCTTTGGTCAGTTGACTGTAAGCCACTTGAGGGTAAGGAGTTGTATTCATTTTTGTTTTTCTCTCTCTGTATATATATTTAGGCAATTGGGGCTAAGTGACTTGCGCAAGGTCACACAGCTAGTAAGTGTCAAGTGTTTGGTCTGAGGGCAGATTTGAACGCAGGTCCTGACTCCAGGGCTAGTGCTCTATCCACTGTACCACCTAGCTGCCCCTTTTGTCCGTGTATATTAAGCACATGTTGTTATTGAGTCCTGTCTGACTCTTTATGATCCCATTTGGGATTTTCTTGGCAAAGATACCAGAGGGGATTTCCTGCTCATTTTACAGATAAGAAACTGAGGCAAACAGGGTTAAGTGACTTGCCCAGAGTCACACAGCTAGTAAAAGTCTGAGGCCAGATTTGAATTTGGGAAGATGACTCCAGGCTCAGTGCTGTACCCTCTGTGCTACCTAGTGGCCAGCATATTATGCACATAGTAGGTGCTTAATAGAGGCTTGTTGAATTGAATGGTAGGCCCAGAAGCCCTAGGGATGTGGCCCAGCCAAGCTCCTCAGCAACATTTTTCTGGATCTGGGAAGAAGCCTGGGGGAAAAGGCTTAAGGGAAGGCTGAGGCTGAGGGTTGGGATGATGTAACAGCAGTTGTCTGAAATGTGGAACCTTTATTCAGAGAATGGTGGGAAATCAGAATCAATTTCTTTCTTTCTGCTAGGGACACACAAAGGAAAAAACATACATACATAGACTGAGATCAGATGCGAGGAAGAACTTTTTTCCCCCAACGGGGCCTTTTTGTGAGACTTTTCAAAACCTTTTCTCACCCATGGTCTTATTTGACCACAAGGGAGGCTGGGAAGGGCTATTCTACCCCTTTGACTTCAGGAGGAAGCAAAGACTCAGGAAAAGAAAGTGACTTGCCTAAGGTCACACAGCACCTCAGTAGCAGAGTTGGAAGTAGAATCTATGATGGGAATCATGAAGTTCAGGGGAAGTTACTGGAAAGAGAAAGTGGGTTCTGCTAACTGGAAAGCTGCTGTACATCTATCTACATGCCCTCCAGACATGGCCCTGAGTGGGTCACACTGGAAATAGATAAAAGCCTCTAGACACAGAGCTGGAAGGAGCCTTTGAGATCACCAGGTTCAATCTCCTCATTTTTACAGTGGGGGAAACTGAGACCCAAAGAAGGGTGGGAGCTTGCTTGAGACAATGGCAGAGTCAGGACCATAACTCAAGCATTTTGGCTCCCAAACCAAGGCTACTGAATAAATAGATGCAGGACAAATGTGGCCATCTCTATGTCGCCCGCCCCTCCAGTTTTACTATATGTAGGTTCCAGGGATTTTGACACGTACCTAGACTAGCTTTCAAGGGGCACAATGGGAGATGAAAGACTTTACTCACCTGAGTGTGCTACAACAAAAATGATAGCTAGCGTTTATATAAGTGCTTATTATGTGCACTAAGCACTTTACAAATATTGTCTCATATGGCCAATGTGGGAATTGGTTCTGCTCGACTGGGACTATTTTTGACATGTTTTGTTTTTGTTCTTTTGTGTTACCTTTTTGTTTGTTTGTTAGGAGCCACAAGTGACAGGGAACTAAAACAAATGCTTGTTAATTGAAAAAGTTAAAAAAAATCTCATTTGATCCTCACAATAACCTGGGAGGTAGGTGCTGTTATTACCTTTATTTTACAGTAGAGGAAACTGAGGCAGACAGAGGTTAAGTGACTTGCCTGAGGTAAGTTAGGGTTAGAGCGCAATTAGGGTTAGGGTTAGGGTTAGAGCGCAATTAGGGTTAGGGTTAGGGTTAGGGTTAGAGTGCAATTAGGGTTAGGGTTAGGGTTAGAGCGCAATTAGGGTTAGGGTTAGGGTTAGGGTTAGGGTAACACAGGTAACACAGCTAGTAAGTATCTGAGGCTGCATTTGAACTCAGGTCTTCTTGACTCCAGGTTAAGACAGAGTTGACCCAGAGGGATTTTGCTGTGTTGATTAGGACAACAGCAGCTATGGGTCTGAGTCACAAGAGTTGATACAGTATAGCTCTTAGGCTATGGGCTATCTTCTGAACTGTCATTCCTCCTCTAGGTCTCTGTTGCTGAATCATTTCAGGTGTGTCCAGCTCTTTGTGACCCCATTTGGGGTTTTCTTGGCAGAGATATTGGAGTAGTTTGGTATTTCCTTCTTCAGCTCATTTGACAGATGAGGAAACTGAGGCAAACAGGGTTAAGTGACTTGTCCAGGGTCACAGACTCAAGAAGATGAGTCTTCGTGACTCCAAGCCCAACAGTCCCTGAGCCACCTAGCTGCCCTCCTTTTCTAGAAGCAATTGCAATTCAGGAAAGAACCAGCAGGAGGCAGTGTAATGAATTGATTCCATGAGCAGTTTTCTAGGGAAACACTAAGCAGCAGTTTTTCCAGATGGAATGCAGCCCCAGGACTGTGAGATGTCTGGGGGTGGGGTGGGGTGAGGGAAACTGTATTGTATGGGAAAGCAATCTCTCATGCATGGTGGGGGTGGAGTGAGGTATGGATCTTCCTGTGGCTATGTTATAATGCCAATTCAGCAATGTTTCTGATGTGTTCCTATAAACTATTTGTATTCTGGGTGTGGGAAAGCATTAGACCTGGAGTTAGGAAGTCCTGAGTTCAAATCCTACCGCTGACACTTACTAGCTGTGACCTAGGACAAATCACTTAAACTTTCAGCTTCAGTTTCTTCATCTACCAAATTGGACAACAAAAGCATTTATCTCACAAGGTGGTGAAGGTCAAATGAGATAATGTATATAACACTTCAGCAAACTTTGAAGTGCTAGCTAAATGCTTCTATTATTATTTTCAGAGACTATACTGCCATCTGTTGCAACTCCATCAAACTGCTATTACCCTCTATTGCTTTTCTCCTGACTTACTGCTGTCACCCACTGGTTCTTTACCAAACTGCAGCAGTCATTTTGACTTCTTTCCCTAGGGACACTTGGGGGATAGCTTCAGGCTATTTCAATTCTTTTGTGAGTCAGGTCCCCAGGGCACCTAGCCAGCAGAATGAGAGTCCCTTCACTCAAATCTATCTTTTGAACTCCTTTTGCTTCCTCCAACTGGCAGTTCTCTTTTTTTCTTGTAATTGAGTTGTTTCAGTCATGCCCTGCTCTCCGTGACCCCATTTGGGGTTTTCTTGGTAAAGATACCAGAGGGGTTTGCCATTTTTAGCTCATTTTACAGATGAGGAACTGAGACAAACAGGGTGAAGTGACTTTCCCAGAGTCACACAGCTAGTGAGTGTTATGTGTCTGAGGCTGGCTTTGAACTCAGGTCCTCCTGACTCCAGGACTGGTGCTCTATCCACTTCACCACCTAGCTGATCTGGTACCCCAGGTGGGCACAAAGCCGCAATGCTAACCAGTTTTCTCCACAACAGCCTTACATTTGAGGTGGGGGTGAACAAATTCTTTCCAATGCCCATCACGCCCCTGGAAGCTAGCCTAGATCCATGCAGCTCTGCATGGCAAGATGAGAGGAGGTGGGGCAGAGCTGTCAATCTTTGCTTGCATTCCTAAGGTTGCACAGGAATCATACATCTCCCCGCACTTGTTTGTTGGGACTCCGGGCCTCTAGTATGTGGGTGTTCTGTTACTTCTTGTCTATTCACCTGTCTCTTGAGGTTCTGCTTGTGCTCGCCCTTACTTTTTGAATCATTCTCACCCCTACTTGTGGGCCTGTTTCTGCTTCAAGGCCTCATCCTGATCTTTGATACCTGGGTCTGGCTCACACCCCGAGATTGCTCCCTAGAGTCTTGGCCCTGAGTTCTCCATGGTTAGCTGGCTCCTACATGTTCTCTGATCCCCAAGCCTGGCTTTAGCTCTTGTACCCATTTCTACACTCACCACTTGTTGCTGCTACCTATGTTATGTGATATTTGGCAATTAGGAATAAGAGAATGAGAAAAGGTCAAAAAGAAGAATAATGTAGGCCAATGAGGAAAGATTATGGAAGTTCAGAATAACAGACCTATAAGGGCCTTTAGAAAAGAGACTATGGACTGTCAGTAGTGTGAGAAGCTCAGGCAATCCATTTGAAGCTGCTTCCTTTTTAGGCCATATCTGTTTTTACCTGGATTATTTGTATCTTTAGGTTTTGAAGAGATGCAGCTGAGAAACCCTGAGGAAGGGGGATAGGGGAAGGTAATATAAAGGGTGGCTCTGAGATGTCATGATGTTTGCACTGTGTAAGGAACCTTTCTTTCCTCCCTTGCGAGGCAGTTTGGGTTAAGTGACTTGCCCAGGGTCACATAGCTAGTAAGTGTCAAGTGTCTGAGGCCAGATTTGAACTCAGGTCTTCCTGATTGCAAGGCCAGAGCCCTATCCACTATACCACCTAGCTGCCCCAAGAAATGCTGTCTACAGAAGATCTAACCTGTCCCTCTGTGAAGGTAAGTGTTTTAGAACTGGAAGGAACCATAGAATAAAGAATAAAGGATGCAAAATTGAAAGGAAACTTCTGTTCTGCCCAGAATGTCAGAGCTGGGAGGGCCTTAGAAAAGAGAATATCAGAGCTGTGAGGACCTTTAGAGCAGGTAATGTCAGAGCTGGGAGGGCCTTAGAATAGAGAATGTCAGAGCTGGGAGGATCTTTAGAACAGGGAATGTCAGAAGGTCCCCTAAGGACCTTAGAACATAGCACTTCAGAGCTGGAAAAGACCCAAGAGCCTAGCTGTGCTATGTGTACTGGCTTTGGAGGCCAGAGGAGCTGGGTTTCTATCCATCCCTCCACCCTTCCCCGAGTGACC